AGGAATGCCTTCACTATTTATTGAAGAAACCAGTTTCTTTCTTTCAGAAATCTGCAACACATAATAAAGCTAAATAAATATCACCACATGTGTGCTTGTTATAACATGTAGGGTTAATAAAGCTTCTAAGAGTGCAAACGAAGTATGGTCAGGCACAAAAAGAAAAAGAACTTTTATAACCAACTCCACTATCATAATGCAGAAACTTTAGCACTTCAAATCCCTTGAACTCATCCATAAGTTCCTAACTAATAATTATTATCTTATAAATTATAACTATGTTCAGGCCAATGGTTTCTACATGAATAGTTCAAAAATACACCCTAACATTGAGAAAATCTATGAAGCACCGATACTTTAATTTGTTTCACTTATCCATATCTGATAATGATATTCTTGGATACTTCACTGGTACGTATCAATGAAGTATGCAGGCTTTTAAAGAAATTTATGAAAATCCAATACAACTACATTTCAACATAGAAGCATTATGATCAGAAACATGTTCAACCATAGATAGGAATATATAACCAGCTTAATCAATTCAAATGACAAAGTCTCATTTAGATCCTCTCCATTATTCCTTAGTACTTCATACTAAAAATGAAACCACAGGCAGGACCTCACAACTAGACATGGACAAATAGTAACCCCAAATGGCACATATTTGCACAAGGATTTCATAGATCAAATTCCACCACATAATCTTGCATTCAGTTCTTCTAAAATCATAAAAATAAATCAAAGAAGGGGAAGACACACAACAAGAGAATCCGTGAAAAGTTGCCACTGCTACAGCATGATCAATTACCTTGGGACCAGTGAGCTTTAACAAAGCACACGTATTACTATTAGTCATTGCTTTACTCTACTTACACTCACCTTTCCAAGAGGAAAAGAAATCACCTTTCTTAATTTTCCAATTAAGTTCCAATTCCCCAATCTCAACAAATCAAAACAATGAAATCCCAAAACTAAATAAATAAATAAATAACTATAATCAAAATTTTAAAAGGAAAAAAAAAAATCAACACCTTTGCATGTGGGTCTCAAACCCTTTCGGAAACAACAATATAAAGATGAAATCCATGCATGATCCTTTGTAATAAAACACATTCCACAACACAACAATACCTGCTGAAGCAGCTCCCTTTGCAAAGCAATAACCTTCTTGCTCTTCTCAATTGTGGCCTGAAGCACTTCCTCTGACTCATCCTTACCTTCCTCACTCGTCCCAAAGCTCTTCCCCAAAGCCCTTATGTGCTTATTCTTAACCAAACACAACAAACCCCTACTACCCCTATCGTTCACTCTTCCACGACCCCACCCAATTAATGAAGCATTCTCAGTGCCAAACTCGGGTGAAAACTTTAGGTTCCTATTGTGAAACATGGTCATCATCAAGGTAGAGTCGGCATTTGCTCCTACCAGAAACGGTGAAGAACCCATCGATGCCATCACCAAGGGATCGAAAAGAAAGAAAATTGGGGAGACCCAGAAGGTGAAAAGGAGAGATCAAGGAGGGTGTGAAAATGGGTCGAAGGCAAGTGAAGAAAAGAGTGAGAGTGTGAGCAAAAGGTGAGAGCTTTTGGAATGGTGACGTTTTTGGATGAGAGTTCAAGATGACCACAAGCTGGTGAAACAAAAGGGTCCCATTGTGAAAGTATAGGATTGGCGAATGTTAAACGTGAAATTTAGCAAACCAATCCATGATCATCAGGTTACTTCCTGATGTCGGATAATCAAGATAAGCGTTCTTGTGAAAATTCGGATTTAAATTTCATTTTGGGGAAGTTTTATTTATTTTTATTTTTTTTACACCAGTATCTTAAAGATTTATCTTAAGCTAATCTCACTCAGCGAAAAGTAAGTAAATTTTGATCAAGAAATAAGTTTGAGTTGGGGTTAAACGAGCTGGTTAGAAAGATACTACGAGCAATGTAGGACACTTTTTCTTGTACTCTCTTTTATTTATTTTTTTTTTCTTTTTTACATTCATCGAAATTTATTAAAAATTACAAATATTTGTAATCTCACAACTTATTTAATACACAATATCTAACCAATAAAATTTTTCTTTATGATTATTAAACACAAATACTAACTTGTAAATCCCTCACTAATACCCAATAAAATTCTTCTTTTAATTATTTAAGGCAAATATGTATCCATATTAGTTTAGTAGTTCAGTCAGTATGCATTATGATTAACACTTGTCTTGTATGAACTCAAGCTTAGTGTGTATGAACTTTCAGGATTAGCCTTGTAAAATATATTTAGTAAAATTACTGCAGGTTCAGCATAAGTTTTAGTGTCCAATAGAAGAAACGAAACCAAGCATCTTTAAATTAAGTGCATACGGAACAAGACAGTGTCTGTATGTGCATCCTTGCAATTTTCTTAGCTAGCAATTACCAAAGCTTCTGCAGCAACCGCAGTGTTTCTTGTCCAATTCCTTGCAATCGAGCAAAGGTGCGACACCTTACGTCCCTGTAGCAAAGAGTTGCAATATTCAACTTGCTCAAATTTTAGGTAGCTGAAACTTCCACCATGCATTTATCTGTCATTCCTTTTGTCATTTTCTTATATAACACTTTAATTAATGCATGTAATAATTTTACTCGATATGCGTAAGATTTCTCTCACAATAATATATGTGGTCTTTTAAATAAGTTCTAAAAAAAAAAAGGTAAAAAGAAATTATTAAGAACATAGCTATAATCGCATGATTATTTATCGTTACGAGAATGTTCATTTATACCGAAAAGAACTGAAATGTAGTAACTTATAATTATTTTTTATTATTGTATTATAGGTACAAAATATTTACTAATTTATGTCAATAAATTTTAGATTAAACATCATTTTCGTCTCTATAAATTTATAAAATTTTGTTTCTTGTCTCCAATTTTTAAATGTCAACTTTTAATTTTATCTTTTTTAAAATGTGTCAAGTTTTATTTTTGTCACAAACATTGTTAATTCAAATTAATGGTAAAATTCAGTCACTAAACATGTCATACATGTATGTTAATTTAAAGATTTAAAAATAGACTAAATTGTTAATTGTGACATGTGGTCCTTCCAGTCAATTAGTTTACATTTCTCTTTAGTTAGTTAGTCAATTTAGTTAGTTAGTCAATTAAGACCTTTTATATATATATATATATATATATATATATATATAATGATGGATATTTGAGAATTATTTTTATGAGATCATAGGTTAGTTGTTTTATGTTTTTCATTTTCATGTATCAAACTAGATTATTGTGTGTGTGTGTGTGTATAGTCTTTAGTTATAGTCCCACTAAGACTTACTTTTATGATTTCAATTTGTGATTTTATATATATATGTGTGGGTGTGTATGTATGTATGTATATATATATATATATATATATATATATATATATATGAGATGTTTGTATATAATTTATTATATAAAACTAGTAGGCATAGGTGTAAGAGTTTATGTGATCGTCCAATCATCGCCTAAGGTAATTATCATACTCTAAAATCAATATGTAGTTTGTCTTCATTTTTCATCTTTTACTTTTTTTTTTTGTTTATGTATCACCTGTTTTACCAAATTTTGCACAACAAATTGGTATCATGAACTTGGTTGAGATTGCAATTTTTCTTCTATTGGTTTGATAAACCATTCTATTTTTGTTGTTCGTGGTGAATCTTCAAGAAAGTGTTCAAGAAGATGGTTAACACAATCAAGATTGAGAAGTTTATAGGCAAGAACAATTTCAACCTTTGGTGCATCAAGATAGAGCTTTGTTGAAGGAACAAGGTGTCTAGGCACCGCTCTCTAGGACAACATCACACTTGAAAAAATTGTTCTTGAACAGAAATAAGAAAAGGCACATTTGTCGATTATTCTTCTTTCATTGGCCAATGAAGTTTTGTATGAGGTCGCAAAAGAACATATTGCATCAGGGTTATAGAAGAAGAAGAAGAAGAAGATAGGCATTAGACCATTAAAGAAGAAGAAGAAAACCTAACTTGGTCATTCCATGTATGCATCCAGTTGGCATTCACGTGGTCAAGAGTTAACCTCGTTAGTGAAATTTGAATGGAAGTCCCACATTGAGGTATTTAAATTAAATTGGGACCAAATTAAAATAAAAAATTAAAGTGAGATCAAATTGAAACTTTTTAATATTATAAGGGACCAAATTAGGCTTTTAGCCAAAAATAATTAACAATAGAAACTAGTTATTCTTGATTTTATTGGAGTAAAATATGTTTTTAATCTTTCTAAAAAAATTAAGTTTGATTTTATTCCTTCAAAAAAATTATCCTATTTTGATCATCTAATTCAAAAATGCACAATTTTTTCTCTTTCTAATAATAATACTTTTTAAATTATTTTTAAGTGTTATCTAAATCATTTTAAGAATTAAAAGTTATGTGTTTTTAAATTAGAGAAACTAAATAATACAAAAGTAATAAAATTGTGGGACTAAAGTCAAATTTCAAAATTTTAAAGAGACTAAACATATTTTATGTTTACTTTTTTTTATTATTATCATGAAAAAAAAATTTCACCCCGCTAACATTTTTATTCTTATTTCATCTTTATCTTTATGCACACCCTTTTTGGACTGTGGAACATCACATCCTGATTGCCGATGGCAAAGTAGGACCATTAACCCCCCTTCTCTAATTAGGTGTCCCGCTTGTCATTATTGCAACAATCCCAATAGGTGGTGACGATCTTGATGGTCTTGAGCCAATTGGCAAAGTTCTTCTTGGCTTTGGAGGAGGCGGCATTGGCATTGGTGCCATCAGAATGGTGGATGCTTTTGTAGTGCATAAGCTCTTACACAATGGGTGAGTAGTTGACGGTGAGTGGTCAAACTCCTCCATGGTGAGGTGGCGACCTCGTAGAAGCGGTGGTCATTGAGGATGAACACTCAATATTATTGTCGAGAACATGAATTATGAGAAGTTATTCCTTGTTAGGGGATTAGGATTTCGATTGGGATGTTTAGGATTTGTAGTGTCAAATTTAGATCAGAGAGGGAAACTACAATCACAAGGGTAAAGGTGAGCATTTGGGGTGCAGCAAAGTGCATTTTAAAATTTTGTCTAATTTTTTTTAAAATCAATTTATCTACATAGCAATAGTAAAATGGAATATATCAGATATAATATGTATTTCATTTACTACATAAATTTTTTTTTAATGGTAGTTGATAGTGAGGACTATTTTTAAAACGTTATAAAAGGTTAAGGATGAAATAACAACAAAAATATTTACAAGGACCAAAAGTGAAAAGGCAGTAAATTACGAGAATGAGAATTATATTTAAACTTAATTTATCTTAAATTATTTCGTAAACTTAACCTATTCAAAAAGGACGATTATTATACTCTTATCTAGCTTAAACATCTATTATCTTAAGTTAATTTAGGGTAGAAATAATCATTTTAAAGTTGAATTTGGGCATAGAGTGCCTTTTGGCCAGATTAAATTTTAAAAAATAAATAATAACTAAAATAAATTATTTTATAACTATTCATCAAATAAATTATTTTGGCCACCATGGCAGGGTTGAGAGAGGTGTTGCAATCACCTTTGATGTCACCATTAGAAGACAAAAGAAATAAAGAAATCGTCACAGGTACTCACGACTTCTATTTAGTGTAATGCAACATAAAAGTTGTCACATGTATTGACAACTTTTGTTTAGTGTGATGTCATCATAGGTACTGACGACTTGTGAACACATCATGACTAATGATGGCTTTTAAATGAATTTTGTTTGGAAGAGGCACCCACATTGCTTCTTAAGACCAACGACAGAGCAATCTTGCATTGCTTCTTCATCTCCTTCTACAAGACTTTTTCTCATTGATAATGTTAATTTATACTTACAATTATTGGTCATTCTATACTAACAAAATCAATTTTCCTTTAGCTTTTAACTAGCTTAGTCTTCCTTTAAATGACATTTTGATTAATTGGAACTTAGTTACCATTGCTTAATTATACTAGTAATCTCCATTTTTTTTGCTAACATTTGATCAGGAAGTGGATTTGGAGCATGCTAAGAAAGAAAAGACTCATAGAAGTGAAGAAGAAAGATCCAAAGAAGCTCCCCTTAAAGATTTTATAGCGTCAAGGGCCACTCTACTCACACCAATGTGATCTTGGTAGAGAGTGCCTTCTTTTGCCTGTGTGCTTGTTCCTAGCGTGGATTAGTATGTGTTGGGCATCAATTTTATTACATGGTGCATTTCGTTCATTTTACTCCTCTCTCTTCAAAGTTTTGGACATCATTCAACATTGGGGATGAGATTAAAAGTCTTTGGAGTGCTTCTAGGACTTCCTTCACCACTTTCAAGTTTCTCCTTGGCTCTCCATTTTCCATGAACCACTTTGTTTTCTTTTTTGTTCTCTTTGTGATAATGAGGAGGTAATTTCATCCTTGTAAGAGTTAAATCTAACCAATCAAACTCTTATGTAACTTGTATTGATTATATATATGTGTGTGTGTGTGTGTGTGTGTGTGTATGTATGTATGTATGTATGTATTCCATTTCAATGTTAGTATTTTGTTTCTACTTTTAATGCTTGTTGTGGAGTGATCAATCATGGCTTGATATTTGATTCATTAGGTATTAGAAAATATCTTTTGTAATCTTGAATTAGAACAAAATATCTGATGGAGCTTATATCTAGGAATAAAACTTGACCCATTTGCTAGTTATCTTAAACCTTTTTTACTAATG